CGCTTCAGCGCCGCGCCTCAGGCCGCCGCCATGGGCTGCTGGGGCCGCAACCGCGGCCGGCTGCTGTGCATGCTGCTGCTGACCTTCATGTTCATGGTGCTGGAGGTGGTGGTGAGCCGGGTGACCGCGTCCCTCGCCATGCTGTCCGACTCCTTCCACATGCTGTCGGACGTGCTGGCGCTCGTGGTGGCGCTGGTGGCCGAGCGCTTCGCCCGGAGGACCCACGCCACGCAGAAGAACACGTTCGGCTGGATCCGCGCCGAGGTGATGGGCGCGCTGGTGAACGCCATCTTCCTGACGGGGCTGTGCTTCGCCATCCTGCTGGAGGCCGTCGAGCGCTTCATCGAGCCCCACGAGATGCAACAGCCACTCGTGGTGCTGGGCGTCGGCGTGGCGGGGCTGCTGGTGAACGTGCTGGGGCTCTGCCTGTTCCACCACCACAGCGGCGAGGGCCAGGGCGCGGGCCACGGCCACTCGCACGGCCACGGCCACCTCGCCAAGAGCGCGCGCAAGGCCGGCCGCGCAGGGGGCGAGGCGGGCGCGCCTCCGGGACGGGCGCCGGACCAGGAGGAGACCAACACGCTAGTGGCCAACACCAGCAATTCCAACGGGCTCAAGGCGGACCAGGCAGGTGAGCGCCGGAGAGGGGTCGGGACGGGCGCCCCCTGGCGACCGGATTCGGTGCCACGCCCCGCGCACCCGGGGGCGCGGTGGTTTCGTGCCCACTGAACAAGTTTGATAATGATGTGTTGAGGGTGTGTGGGCCCTGGTTACAGGCGGCCTTTGTGAACGGCAGCGTGTGTTTCCCTGAACTGACCACCTAATCCGGAAAAATCACAGGTTAGGGACCTGCCAGGGCACGTTGCACGTTTACCTCTCAGGGTTTGGCAAACTGGTGCTGGACCTGATGGTGATGTATTTCCCTCGTGGTTTTAAGGAACGTTTGTCATCTTGAGCACATGTGCTCTTGATGGAAATTTGAGAGGGTATGACTGTTGAAAAGAAATGAGGAGTCAGCCAGCACGGCCCAAGCTCGATGATCACATTTTGTGTTCCTTCCAGTTTTTTCTTGCCGCTTAAATCTGCCTAATTCACACTAAGAGGCAGTTTAACTTCTCCAATGCGTAGTAACATGTTCAGATGGTGCATGGCAAAGGTTTTCTCTCATTCCGAAGAAAATGAAACTACGCAGGTGTGCCATCTGACTCAAACTTTGGTTTTGTTTTCCAAGACAGGGTTTCTCTGCGGTTCTGGCTGTCCTGGAACTCCCTTTGTAGACCAGGCTGGCCTCGAACTCACAGAGATCCTCCTGCCTCTGCCTCCCAAGTGATAAGAATAAAAAGATGTGAGCCACCACCACCCCACCCTGATTCAATCTACCCCCCCACCCTGATTCAATCTTTTAAGTGTCTTAGTGATTGTTGAGTTCCAGCCTCATTGATAGCTACAGGTTGTGGTTTTTGTTTGGTTGGTTTTGGTTTTTTTCAAGACAGGGTTTCTCTGTGTAACAGCCCCTGGCTGCCCTGGAATCTGCTCTTGTAGACCAGGCTGGCATTGAACTCAGATGGGCCTGCATCTTCCTCTCAAGTTCTGTGATTAAAGATGTGTGCTACCACCACCTGGCAAAGCCCCGGGCTGTCTGTCTGTCAGTTTGTAACCCCCGCTATCAAGACACTGTGTACAATATTTTTATTTTTTATTATCTATAACACTTTTCTCAAGCAGTGTGCTGATGCCGCTGACTACAGAGAGCTCCACATCAGATCAGCTGTGTTAGAGGACCTCTCAGCTGCGCCTAACAGATGGCCTTACATTTTGTTTCTCTCTTGTATGTGTCAGAAAAGTGAAGCAAAGTGTTTACAGGACACCAGCCCAGTAGTGAGGGGCGGGCAGGGGCGAGAGGGTGGGAAGGAAATGAAGAAACAATAACCTAATGGCACAATTTGGTCCCCCGTTATGGCCGGGCAGTGCCCAGAACGTCAGTTCATCATGTGTTGTTCTCAGCATACTTTTTTTTTTTTTTTTTTTTTGGTTTTTCGAGACAGGGTTTCTCTGTGTAGCTTTGCGCCTTTCCTAGAACTCACTTGGTAGCCCAGGCTGGCCTCTAACTCACAGAGATCCGCCTGGCTCTGCCTCCCGAGTGCTGGGATTAAAGGCGCGCGCCACCACCGCCCGGCTTCAGCATACTTTTATTGTGCTTTATGAAACAAGTTTCAACTTCTTCACCACTAGACAAGACGTTCGTCTGAACACATTAAATGTGTTGAATTAAAATTGTTTTGTAGAGCCAGAGAAATCCAGAGGTGATGACCCTGTGGATGTACAAGTCAACGGGAACCTCATCCAGGAGCCGGACAACCTGGAGTCGGAAGACGACAAGGCGGCACAACTGAACATGCGAGGAGTGTTTCTGCACGTCCTTGGGGACGCCTTGGGCTCCGTGATCGTGGTGGTGAACGCCTCACTCTTTTACTTTTTGTGGAAGGGTTGTTCTGAAGACAACTTCTGTATAAACCCCTGCTTCCGTGATCCCTGCAAAACATCTATAGAGCTAATCAACAACACCCAGGCCCTGGTTCGGGAGGCCGGTCCGTGCTGGGTGCTCTACCTAGATCCAACTCTTTGTGTTATAATGGTTTGTATACTTCTCTACACAACTTACCCATTGCTTAAGGAATCTGCTCTCATCCTTCTACAAACTGTTCCTAAGCAAATTGACATCAGACATTTGGTAAAAGAATTACGAGATGTTGAAGGCGTTGAGGAAGTTCATGAGTTACATGTCTGGCAGCTCGCTGGAAGCAGAATCATCGCCACTGCTCACATAAAATGTGAAGACCCAACTTCGTACATGCAGGTGGCCAAAACCATCAAAGATGTTTTTCACAATCACGGAATTCACGCCACTACCATCCAGCCAGAGTTTGCTAGTGTGGGCTCTAAATCAAGTGTAGTCCCGTGTGAACTTGCCTGCAGAACTCAGTGTGCTCTGAAGCAGTGCTGTGGGACACGGCCACAGATCCCTTCTGCAAAGGATGCAGAAAAGGCCCCAACAGTTAGCATTTCTTGTTTAGAACTCAGTGAGAACCTAGAGAAGAAGCCCAGGAGGACTAAAGCTGAAGGCAGCCTCCCTGCTGTGGTGATAGAGATTAAAAACGTGCCAAAAAAACCCGAATCATCTTTGTGAGTCTTGGAAAAGATGTGATATTTGACTTTGCTTTTAAACTGCAAGAGAAAATAGACTCCATTGAAATACTAAGTTTGCCAAGTAGTGTAATTGAAGTCCTTGTCTGGTCGCACAGTTTAATTCTATTTTTGTAAGAACATAATGGAACTGCATAATAGAATGTTCTACATTACAGCCTTGTGATTATTAGTGCATAGAGCAGCTATGCTGTAACACGTTTTGAAAGCCAGTTTTAACACTATGTTACATTTTTGTTTAAGTATAAACCTTATATGACATAATGACATTTGATTCCTGGTTTTCCCATGATAAAAATTAGGGGGATAAATAAAATTGTTACTGGAATTTCTCTGCTTCCCCCTCCCCCCCCCCATTGTTATACATTCTTTGTTAGAATTGTAGTTGCTAGACTGACTTTAAAATCATCAAGTTAGTTTCCTTTGCTGTTTAGGGAATAGCTCCTTGCCCTTTGAGATCATAAACTTAACATGATGGCAGCGTGTTTTCAGGATGACTCATGACTACTAGCAGGAAATATGAGTGGTTACTATTCTGTATTCCCTACTGCTAGTCATCTAGTAAACTGAGCTAGTTCACAAAAGGAGTTAGAGTTTACATACAGTGGAGGGGTAGAGTGTAAGAGCAGGGAAGAACGCAAACTTGTAGGTTATTCTGTGTTAATACTGAGATTACATGTCTAAGTTATCTTGAAAATCTCGAGTGGTTTTAGTCAACCAAAGCTGCTCTAAACACGTTTGCCAGTGTGTCTGCTTTCTCTCGGAGACTGGTTGGTATTAGCGATGTTGAGCTAAAAGTTTCAAGATGCATGAATATTTTTGAGAATGAAGACTTAGTCTTTGTTAACTGCAACTAGTGATCTACAATTGTGTCTTAAAAACCTTTTTTATGCACAGCAGCGAGCACAGCCTGTGCTTTTTGCCAAGAGCCAGTGAAAGAAAGAAATTGGATGGTTCGTGCAGTTGGAATATTTTAGAAAGCAAAGTTAATAAGAGCGTCTTGGGGTCTTTAAACCATCCTGTCTGGACGCGCTCAGCTCTCCAGTGTGCTTCCTTGTACTCAGGAAGTCGTTCACAGCTGTTTCTCTGCCACTGGTTTCAAACCCAGCGCAAACATTGGAAGATGCTTAAGTTATATTTTCCTTGACAGAGAAAGGTTAATGTTTTGTGAAGAGAATGTAGAGTTTTGTCTTCAAAAGAGTGACTATTAATATCAGTTGTATATAGCTCTATTTTTCTAGGAACAGAGTACCCTGACTACTTCAATAACTTTTATAGCTGACTACTTTTGGGATTTGAAATAATTCATTGCTTAATAATCTGAAAATGGAAGTGTTAGCATATGACAGTTACTTTGAGGGGATGGTCTTTCCCTATGTAAAAAGCCTGTTGCTGGCACAATGGGCCTACTTAAGAACAGCTGGATTTTCTGATGAGAAATTTAATTTTAGGAACATAGTTTGTAAGTTCCCATTTACTGCACTGGGCCGACCATCAGCCTGCATAATGCTTCACTGATGTGCGATCCAACACCTTAGCAGATGGTTACTTTGAATTCTGCAAAAATTTGTTTGTTTTGTTTTGTTTTAACATGAAATTGAGAGATCTATGGGTGACTGCAAGAGAGAACTCCAGTTGTCACAGCAAGGTGACTGGTGAAAGTGTGCCCTTCAGAAACACTCTGGGTGGGTTCATGACGAAGGTGCCCCAGGAATTGGGACAAGGGCTATGTCAACCTATTTTCAGAAGTGCTTTAGGGAAGCGGCTTCTATGTAGAAAGTGGTACCATAGGCTTTTTTTTTTTTTTTTTCCAAAGGTGTTTGTCATAGCAAAATCCATGGCACCCGCTCACCTTGGAGTTTTAGAGAATTATTTATTTCCTTACAATGCACTTTCTAACCCATTTTTAGCTATATTAGCATTATCTTTAAGAAAAAAAGATATGTTTTTTTTGTATTTAAGTGTTGTGGGACTTGAGTGTCTTTTCCAAAATAGCTTCTTTCTTGAAAGGAAACGGGGAGCTACCTTGGCCTCTTCGGGACTAGCCCATTGTTAAATGTGCTTCCTTTCGCTGCGTCAGTTCTAGGGGGTGAGCAAGGCCAGTGTGGACCTGTCTGTCATCTGGAGCTGAGGGAGAAGGTGCTGCATGCTCCCAGATTGCACTCAACCAGGACTCCTCAAGCTGTGTGCAGCCTTGGAAGGACGGATTTCATTTTCCATGGTCAGCTTGTAGGAGTAATTCTTTTCTGGAGGGTATCTACATTGTAGAAGTACAGGCTAGAACATGAAGAACAATCCTCAAACATTTTACTGTATTTTCACATTAAAAACAAAAATACTGAATGACTTTAGCCTAAGATGTGTAATTTGAACAGGAAGGGTTTGGAAAGTTGCAGGAAGCTGTTTATGTGTGTATGTCTTGTCAGCATTCTGTTATTTTGAGTGTCTGAAAGTTTTGAGGGAAAAGGCAAAACCTAATGTGAAGTATTCAGTATGTAAACTGGTTTTGAATGTTTTTACTGTTTTACAAGCAGATACCATTTAACAATAAATGTCATTAACCTGCTGTCTTAAGGTAGTCATACACAAATGTGGAGTGTGATTCTACAATAGAAAATATTTTAATACTACGTTTCAGTTTAGTGATAAAACAGTGTTAAGGGGTCTTGGAAAGGTGGGAGGCTTTTGTTGTTGTCTTTTTGTGATTGAAACTGTCCTAGTGCTCACGGTCTGGGAAACGGGACTGTAATCACACTGTTTTGATACAGCGCTGCATATATACATATGTATGTGTATATGATGATGCTCTTTTGTTTTACTAACAAGCTCTGCAATATTTAGCAGTCATTTTCACTGGCACAAGAGCCTTTTGTATATTAATCAATTTAAACTTTTAAACCAAAAATATTAAGGTTCAGTGTCTGGTAAAAAGATGCTGAGGAGAATGTAACATAGAATTAATATGTGGTTATATAAAAAGACACAAATCGCCATGATAGGGTCTGCCTTGAAACAGCACAATGGAGTGTCAGTGTGTCTGTGATTCTCTGAGACTTTTCTCATGTTGGTTTTGTCTGCTGCCACCTGTCCTCTGGGCCAACAGTGTAGCTGATGTGGCTCTCACTTTGTTGAGTACCGGTGCAGACAGAACTCAAGTGCAGCAACGTTTTCCCTAATTTCTGTGTGTTTTATGACTGTGTGTTATTTCCAAAGCTGTTCCTACCTCACCATGAGGCTTTATGGATTGTTATGTATTATAAATGTTCTATATGAGACAAGACTACTGTGTTTCTTCTCATTTATTAAAAATTAAGTAGAAAAATAAACTAATTTTAATATCTACTTTGTTTTGTGCACGCTGCCCTCACCTCATGCTGTGGCGGGTCAAGGAGAAATGGACTATAGCACAGGTTTTGCTGGCACACGATAAGACAGTAGTGTGGAAGAGTCAGGGACCAAAGCCTGTCATAAAAACAGAACGGGTTCACTCACTCACTACTGGGCCAGGAAGCTGTGAAAATGTTTGCTTATAAGCATAAGCTTGCAGGATATCTATCTATCTATCTATCTATCTATCTATCTATCTATCTATCTATCTATCTATCTATC